TACTACTACCACTACTACCACTACGACGACGACGACGACTACTACTACTACTGCTGCTACTACTACTCCTGCTGCTGATCACGATTACGACGACGACGACTACTACTACGACGACGACTGCTGCTGCTACTGCTGCTCCTCCTCCTCCTCCTACTACTACTACTACTACTGCTTCTGCTACTGCTACTGTCTACTGTCTACTGTCTACTGTCTACTGTCTACTGCTACTGCTACTGCTACTGCTACTGCTACTACCGCTGCCACTGCTGCTGCTATCTTCATCTTCATTGTCACTACTAACTGGTTTCACCGTCTCATTGGCCACACCACTACCATGATAATCGTCTCCTCCATCAGACTCATCAGCATCGTCACCATCCGTATTGATAACTCCTCCTCCTTCCCCACAAATGCGGCATTTACCATGCGCATAGTTTCTACGATGAATATTTCTATGTTTCTGGCTCTGGCATACCACTCTTGCTGCCAGCACTGTTTACTTTCGTTGGTGATGTCAGCAGTGCCCGCAGCATCACTCCCATGTTGGCGCTCGTGTTGCTCCGACTATTGATGCTCTGCTGCTCTGCTTGTTGGCCTCTGCGGCTCACTCCCTCAGCTTCGTGAAACCGCTTTCCACAGCCATCTCAAGCCACTCCTCGTCGTTGATGTTCGTCACAAAATCCATGAGCGCATTGCATCTCTCGGTGTGCCTTGTCAACTTGTACTGGCCCGTGCAGGTTTTCGAGACTGGTACAACATGGCGGCGGACTCATCTTGAGAGACCTCTTTCCTGCGCGCTCCAGGAGCCATAAGAAGGGTCAGCAGTTCCTGCCGACTCTGGGCGGTCAACACCGTGTTTACAAACAGTATTGGCGTCCTCTGTTTTCCCTGGGGTCTTCGAGGGCAGAGTAAGCAAAGTATACACCTCGGTGACGATGCAGTGCAGGTGGCTGGACGCAGTTATCATGGAGCGATGCCAGTCAAAGGTCTGGGCAGAGTGAGGATATACGGTCACCTGCACACACGACATCGCTGTTTGATTCTGGATGCAGGAAGCTGGTCTGGCAAAAGCGCGCATTCAATGGGCGAGGTGCAAAACAAAAAGGCTCCGGCTGAAACGTTTGGAAAGATGTGGAAGAAGAGAGCAGAATTCGACCTCGCTTGAAAACTACCAGAACCCATGACCCTTACTGGAATAACACGCCTGCTCTTAGAGCCTGACTCTATTGGACGAAGCCTTCCAAACGAATTGAACCTGTCGCTGTCCTGGGTTGCTGGATGACCCGTCTTCCACTGCTGATAACACTAATCGAACAGCCGGGTCAGAAACAACAGGGCCCATGCTCCGGGCCCGCCGCAGTCCGTGAGAGGAGATGTGACAAAACCAACGTACTGTCCGCCACCTGTCTGCGATAAAACTGCCACAAGCCGCACGACCCAGATCAATTCAAGCAAGCACAAACTACAAGAACATCTGCTCGTGATACATCATTCTCTCCCCTGATGGCTTCGACAAACACTGAGGGCCTTGGTATGGTAAGTGGTCGTCAACACGAGAAAACCTTCGCAGAACAAACCAGACACAAGAGCGAGACATCTTATCGTTTCTTCGACCGCACTGTGCACAGGCTCCAACCTGGATAGCGCAGGGTGCACTGCATCAATGTGGTAGAAATCCACGAAATTCTCGCAAATAAGCTTCCAGTCACCTGCACACAAGGCTGAGGTTTGTCATCGACCTTAAAACCGGGGCGACAGCAGCCTGCTATGTCATAAGTCTTTTGGGCATGCATCTCCATGTCGTCCTGGCACCCGAGACCACAAGCTCTGCTGCCCTCTACGCAGAATCTGCAATGTCAACAAGCCGGCAAAACTAAGTCATACCGTTGGAGCTTTGTTGTCAAATCACCCAAAGAGTCGCGAAGCGGCATTGGGTTTGGTGTCTGGTTGAGGAAGATGATACCTCTGCAAGCAAAAGTCTACAAATTAGTTTCTGCACTCAACACCACGACTTGAATGTCAGGAGATTCCGTGCATGGCACAGCCTGCGAAGGTCTCGAGGCCAGGAACACGAAGCAAACCCAATTCCTCCTTGCGCTCCTGTCGAAATGCAGTATAATCGAACCTCCAAAAGTACGGCGGTCCTTGGGCACTGCCGCCGGGGGCGTCGACTTGAGGGAACCGTCAAGCCGATACGCCCACCAGTGGTATGGGCAAACCTCGGCTCTGAGACCGACTCACGAGCCGCGAGCCCTGCGCTTCCAGGCATGCACTCGGTCGGCTGCCAGTTGCTTGCAACCAGATGCACTGGTGGAGCAAACACGGGCTCCGCGATGCCGACACCTTGACAGCGGAGGAAACGTCAAGCATAAACAGACCAGGTTCTCGAACTCATCGGATTCTGAGCCAGGAACGTGTTGTAGAAAGCATGCAGCTTGTGATTCTTGTCTCGGGTAAGGATTATGGACTTTGTCCCGACCTTGCCAAGACACAGCATCCAGTACTTCATAAACGTTCCAGGTGCCCAACTGGGTATAGCTTCAACTCCCTCTAACTGCTTGGCAACCGGACCAGAAATCGGACCAAAATTGCGCATACTTACAGTCACCTCGGATGAGGTAGGGTTGCCTCAACGACTTTGACGTCCCCCGGCTTGGACAACTCTTGGACGTGAGCTGCTGCAAACCTTAGTTCGAAGATCTTAGGCTTAGATCTTTCAGTCAAGCTCCTACATGGCGATAGGGCAGGAAGCCAATTCATTCCAAAGATGCGCTCCCTCTCGAGTTGCGCCTTCCATGTCAGGAAGCTACCAAACTGTACTTTGAGTTGCATCTCCGTTCTTTCTGTGACAAACCGGGACGAGCACATAAGACTGATCGGTGTAGAAGGCCGGGTGCAAAACCTTCAAGGGAGACAGTGACCCAAAGATGCTAGTCTGCAATGCATCCGCTGCTTCTCTGCTCAGCTAGACTGGCCTTTGCTTGCTCGATGCACCGTGCGGTTGGGCGTGCCAACTCCTGCTCTCAGGCAGAAGTACGAAAAGCATCTGCTTGCAGCTTGCAGCAACTGCATGACAGAATTGATGATACTTATTGCTTGCTGCTTCAATTTAGCTGATGGCTTCGGCAAAAGAACGCACCAAACAAGCACCTCCAAACGTTCGGGGAGTTGAAGCGCCTCTGCAGCTCCTGAAAGATCACATTTCAGGGCCTCTTGGGCCGGACTTTCCGTCTGCAAAACGAGAACATGACACACTGATTGCTAGAACGTGCCGGTAGTGGGACACACGTGGCTCACATAATGTAGGATGTTTTCAGACTCATCTCGCCCTTTTCAATGACAAAATATCATGAAGGAATCCTACAATACACACTCACCAAGACCCTCATACAAGCCCTATTTCACATCGCATGATACTCGCAAAAGAAGCCGGGTCCAGACACTGCAGAGACAGGACGAGATCCAATGGCCACAAAAGTCCCTCGCAGCAAAGAGCTTTGCCTGACAGGCAATTTGCTAGAGCGACAGATGTAGGAATGTGGTAGCCATGACCCCGTCGACCAAACGAACAAGCTGTCAGGTACGAGAAACCTTGTCAGCTTCCGGGTTACCTCAGTCACCAGCGGCTATCCAGAAAGCGCGTGCTTCATGATCTTTACCGGGGCACGAGTCGCGCAATCATGATCGGACCACAAAAAAGCCAACGACCTGAACATTTTCGAAGTGGATACAGGCAAGAAGCATGTAGCCACGGCCTGGTCAGCGTGGGAGCTGCTGGTAGGAAGCGGATGCTTTTGGCTTGAGCAAGCGTTGTCCATGCAAACACAACACCACAAACCCGAGTTAAACTCTACTCCGCTGCGACAAACAGTTGTTGAAACTACAAGGTGGCAGTGACACACAAATGCATGTTGGTAGACGATCTACAATAGTCGGAGCAAACTCGGTGATGTCGACTTGCCAGTGTAGAGCTGTTTCAAAGGTAATCGAGTCGGACAACGAAAAAGCTCCGAAAGCACAACAACTTCTGACAGGTGTTGCTTTGCACACAACCTAATTGGGCAAAAAACAGATAGACATTTGCCGAACAACAAGAATGGGGATGCACATTGAATCTAGATCATTCTAAAAACAACGGGACGCACAACAGTCAACCTGCCAAGCTGGACACATTGAGTTTTTCAAAGAGTCTTTCAACCTTTAAACTCACTATTGCACAGTCGGTCATGATGTCCTTTGTGGCTTCTCTGCGCAGTAAGTCTTATTTCATGGTGAATGTTTCTTCCACTTGTCGACGTGATTTCGCCTGCATGAGGAGCGGAACACACTTGGTTCGAACTGCTGGAAACCATTCTACTTTTGAAATCAACGGTGAAAGAAAATCTGCAAATAATGACCAGAAAATAAACATTTGCAATCTTAAAATGGAAAAACAAAACAGTGTCAAAAAAAAACTATGCTACACAGAAGTGTTTGTGGACACAGCATGGCTTTCAGAAACTTATCACTAAAATTCTTGCAAACCTGACCCGACGGTTCTACTTCTCCAGAGACTCTTGGAAATCCGGCGAAACTAAACTTTGGAACCTGGACCCTGGATTCGACAAGTTCGAGTCAACTTTGATTTGAGTTCCGGAGTTATGTTCTCTTCCCCTGGGCCCCGAGTTCGAACTCTGGCTTCTAAAACATTCCAAAACCTGCTCACTCCACTCCGTGTGTCGCTTGAGTTGCCGTGCAAGCTCTTCTTTTTGGACAAAGTGTTTTTTGCAAATTCCCAATAATTGAAATGCAACACTAGTTGGAACCTAACCTAGAATCTGAAGTTGCAAGTTCCAGGTTGGCTCGTAAACTTTAGATTGCAAACATTGTCGTCTCGCACCTATTTTACATTCTAATCTTTTCCTTTTGTTCTGTTGCGTATTTTGCATTCTAGTTCGGAAACTTGGCTACGACGGACGAGCCTCATGAGCATTCTGAGTCTTGCACCACCCGCAAGGTTGCTCTGGCATGAGCGCGCTTTGCACCAAGCTGCATG